GTTACTCCTGAACCTGTTCCTTGCTTCTAGCAAGCGACCCTCACCTTGACTGAGACACTCAGGTCAGCTCCTGCTTTATTAAAGCAATCTAATTATGTTGAGCCCAATCCTGTGCATCTGTCCTGGTGCGTGGTGCAGCTCCTGTGCAGGACAACCAGCTCTTTGGGAGGGGCCCCCTTCCCACCTCGGGAGCTGCTCCCTCCCCACTCCCTGGGAGCTCCCCCTGGGCACTGGGAGCGTGGGCTTTGTCCTGCACCCTCAGGCTGCTCTGCCACTGCTGCAGCTTTGATCCCTCCTGGCCTTCCTTTGAATAATATGGTACTATTTAATTATATTATGTTGTATATTTTGCTGTATATAAATATATGACACTGTGAAGATCTGTTTATTTTAATAATGCAATATGTGCTGTCCACCAGCTTACATAGAGGAAAGTTTTAAGGCCTCAGAAGGCCTCAGATTTGATTGCTGAGATTCAGGTTATATTCTTAATCCTATGTCTGTCAATCCTGTTTCTTGCTCACATCCATGGATGTATTTAACTACCCCAAATCTCACAAGGATGTTCTAAAAAACTTAGTTGTTAATGTTTGCTGGACACATAACTAATTATTGTTTTTAGTTAGTTCACTTGCAGTTCTGCAAGAAAGTTCAGCAAAAAAATGTTTGGAGTAAACCCAATATTTTATTTTGGAAGTTCCATGATTATTTTTAATTATACTAGAATACAAACGTGAAAAATTTGAAATGAAAAGCTTCTGTATAAAGGAAAGGAAACAAAAGGCACCATCCTTAAGAAAAAAAAAATTAAAAATGGACATTTTTGTTAAGAAAATATTGAATTTAAACCTGAATTTTATTTAAAAATATTTTTTCTCTAGACATACCCTTTTCCAAGCTTAACATAACTTCACAAAATGTTGTTAGGCTACCAAAATAATATTCTTACTAATAATTAAAAAAAAAAAAAAGGCCAAACAACAAAACAGAGTTCAGTGAAAACAATTGCCAGATGTTTCTGGCTTTTGCCATGATGGATTTTACACAGAAGGTATGGAATTACATTGTTAGCAACACAGATAACTCTCCATAGATAGAGAATCTAATGTGCTGCAAATATAGAGGTCAAAGTGTTAATGACCCTCATGCACATTGTGATGGAAGAGAGCAGGGGAGGGGGATTTGGAGAGTCTGGGGTGGCACACACCACCTGCCCGACTGCCCTCTTCTCCTTGTAAAACACAAAGTGGTTTTTAACACTTGTGTCAAGAAAAGATAAACAAGGAGAAGAAATAAACACAGAAAGAATATTAAAATCACCTTTCGTTTTTTAATTGCTGAGTCTCTGCCCAACAAAACCATTTGAAGTACCCACTGGAAGAAACCCAAGGGATTGAACATCTGCCGGGAGTTTTTGTTCTCTTGAAAATGAAAGAAATCCTCTTGAAAATTTTGTGGTTATGAAAATTTAATTTAGACAGAGCAATTTATCACTAGCTAAATATTCATTAAAACTGCAGTGCACACCCCTGTGTGAGCTCAGTCTGCACTTGCCTGGGCTCTCTGGGATTTCGTGGTGTTCCTCCATCGGGGTGGTGGGGTTTGGGATGTTCAGTTGCTTGTAGGATTCTTGACTGATGGTGTCAACTCCTCGGGAAAGCCTCTCAGATGCTGCAGTTTTGAGGTTCTTAAGGGTCTATTTTTCTCTGGCCTTGGAGGTGGGGGGATTAGTTTTCCCTGTACTTTGAGCATGGAGATTTGCAGCATCTGAATGTCCCCATGTTGCATTCTAACCCTTGTGTTAGACAAGGACAGATTTGTTGAGAGCTTTTATTTGTAGGTTTGCATTGATGATAATTTGATTACCAAGGACAATGACAGGATGGAAAATAACTCTGTATGCTCTACTAGGTGCCAATTCTGCTGTGGCAATTCTGTGGTTTGTGGGGAATTTCTATTTTCCTTGTAGTATCAGCAGTGAGGGATGTAGGAAAATGGAAAGAAGTAGCTTAATGTAAACTATGTGTTTGAATAAATGTTTGCCCAGAGGAGCACAAATATTTCTAACTTTTCTAGTCTATTTTTTTAATATATTAAGAACACAGGGTCATCCTGCATCATTAGTTTTATATCTATTTACAAATAATAAAAATCTTTGTTTAGAAGAGGTTTGTGATAATGAATTTTGAATACCATGTTATTCTTTTTAATAAACAGAAATATGAAAGCTCTTGAAGTAAGACACTGCAATAACTGCATAATTACAGTGGAGGGGTTGCCCTCCCAAGCACCCTCCAGCCTAGGTAGGACCCAGATTCCAGAACCTGGCTGGCTGTTCCTTTGGTAAAGGCATGCAAAGTATTAGGCATGTCATTCCTTCAGCTTGGATTGCTTGCCTAGGGTTGTTTAAAAGCAGGTGCTAAGAATGTGCATCAGTGAAATGCTCTGTGATGAGGGTGATTTATGGTGGGAGGTTTAAGGAAAAAAGAAAATTATCTCGAGTCAGATGAACAAAGGGTGGCTGTAATTAAGCATGTATTAAACACCAGCATCAGAAGCTCTCCAGCCACTGACTTTTTGTTTGCTGTCTTCTACCGATCCTGTTCTGCGCTGGCTAGTTGTATTAAATCCACACAAAGGGACATATTCTCTGTTCCTACCTAGCTTTTTATAATGATCAAACTGGAATGACCTTTAAAAAGCCAGATAATATTTTATTTACCTTTTTTCTCCCATTTACTGCTAAATGTTAATGAAGGTAAGAGATTCAAATCCTTGCAAATAAAACATTTTAATTGACTTAAGTGTAACCATAACAGTAAATTGGCTACTTTATATGGAAAAGCTTTTCAGTATTGTGAAAACACACTTGCACAGTCCTTTCATCTGTCTGTAGACTCAGAAATTAGTAGCAAACACTTCCTTTGTTTCCAATGACAGGGAGGTTGAGGGTGTTTTGAGGATGGATTTCCCCAAGCCTGGTTGCTGTAATCTAGTGCCAGTCAAGTGTTCCCTGGAGATGCCTCCACTGAGCCCTTGCTGCTTCCTCCCCAGTGTTACCCAGCTGCAGTGAGTCCTCACAACACTTAGAGTGGCCAAGGGTTCTCCTCCAGCTTTTCAGGCTCCCCGCTCGTGTCCCTCGAGCCGAAGTACCCTCCCTTTCCAGCAGCAGTGGTGCTGAGCTTGGCCCGGTGTTTCAGCTGCTCTGAGTTTCATTGCAGCAGTGCTTTAGGGGAAAATGAGCACTTCATTGCTGAATTCCTGTCAGATGGAAACACATCAAAGCTCTCCTTCTCTTCCTAGGAAATCTCCTCCAAGCAGTGGGGTGCTGAGGTTCCCATCCCTCTGTGTGGGCTGGGGGGATGCTGCTCACAGCTGCAGCAACCCCTTTGCCCTGGGTGTGAAGAGGATGGAGGGGAATGGGTGGAGGAGTTACAGGGTTTAATTTTACCTTCTAAACCAGAACTCCCTGACTGCAGTGGTGCTAAGAACCATCCTCCACTCTCTGAACTGGGTCTGCACCCTTGTCATGATTTGCTTGAAAACCAAACTGAAAAGAGCAGTGGTTCAGATACTGGAGGGACCTTGTGTACATGACAGTGCAGGAGCAGTTGCTGCTACAATCAGAGCAGCAGCTGCCCTTTCTTGACAGACCTTTCCTGGGGAACAAGCGCTGTGAGACTCGCAACATTTGCTCTGTGAGTCCTGGGGATCCTGGGGCTGTATCAGATGTGTTCTGGGTCAGAAAGAACAAGCTGTTTGGAACAAGTCTCTAGAGACTCTTGTACAGGAATATTTCTCATTCCTTTCTCATGTTCTGACTGGGGGCAGGATGGCACTTCAGAACTGGTGTTGCTGAGATTACCTGGGGTAAAGCAGTGCAGTCTGACACTTTAACAACAGCTGTAGGGACTCCTACTTGATTATGCAGTTACCTACCCTTAGGTAGGTAATGCTGGCTCCAGAAATAAAAGGCCAAATAAATTTTTAACTTTAGACTCATTTTAGGTTTGTTTTAACCAAAAGCCAAACATCTACTGATAAAGGCAGAATCAAGTCCTTAGAATCACAAAATCATTTATGTTGGAAAAGACTTCTAAGATCATGGAGCCCAAGCTTTAACAGAGCACTGCCAAGCCCTCCACTAAACCGTCTCTTTAAGTGCCACATCTACACATCCTTTTCAACACCTTCAGGCAGGGAGGCTCCCCCACTTCCCAGGGCAGCCTGTTCCAGTGCTTTCCATGAAGAAATTTTTCCTAATATCTAACCTAAACCTCCTCTGGTGCAACTTCAGTCCATTTCCTCTCCTTCTGTCACTTGTTCCTCAGGAGAAGAAACCAACCCCACCTGGCTTCAACCTCCTGTCAGTAGTTGTAGAGCACAATAAGGTTCCCCTTGACCCTCCTTTTCTCCAGGCTGAGCCCCCCCAGCTCCCTCAGCTGCTTCTCATCAGACCTGTGCCCCAGACCCTTCCCCAGCCCTGCTGCCCTTCTCTGGATGTGTTTCAGCACCTCAATGTCCCTCCTGTCTTGAGGGACCCAAACCTGACCCCAGGATTTGCCTCAGCAGTGCCCAGCACAGGGGGATGGTCACTGCCCTGCCTCTGCCCCACCACTGCTGGAACAAGCCAAGTGCCACTGGCCTTCTTGGCACCCCCCCTAAGGGTGTATCTGGAAATACTGAGCTCCAAGACTAGAAGAGGTGTCTAGTGGAGCACCCCTTAGACAGGGACTTCTCAAGCAAGGCTCGAAATGTGTCATCCGACCCTGACAATCAGACTCGGAAAGATGCTTTTCCCAGTGTTGTACAAAGTACTATTGTTAGCCAAGAACAACTATTTCATCCCAACACTGCCTCAGCTAAAGATACAGCAAGCTTATTCCCAGATTGTTCTGGCCCTGATGCAACCCAGAGCCACAGCTCTGCTTTATGACTTGTTATTGGAGCAGAATTGTCACAAAGAGACGGGATCCTGTGTTGTCTTTGCGTCACACAGCCCAAGGCTCCTGCAACCAGCCAAGTCCAGGCTGGTGTTTTACACTTGCACAGCTCCAGGGGTACAAGATTTTGCCCTTAGAAGAATTTCCTGTGCTGCCAGACTGGGAGATTCTGCCACAGACTGTGAGTGGCTTGTAAGCAGAATCTGTGCTCAGCCCCCTTTCCTTCACCCTTTGGAGCAGTGCTGTGTTTGCCACACCACAGTGACTGCTGGGAATGACAGGAAAGCTCTGCTACAATTGTGGGTTGTGCCTGTTCCTCCTTAATTCTTAAAAATTGTTACAACACATAGCACAGCATATGGGAGGAGAGGAGGGATTGACTGGGGATTTTTTTCCAGTATATGAGGTGGATATTCTAATTTTTGCTTTTATATAGAGCTTTTCTGACTAGAGTGGGAGTTCCCTACATGGTAGACAAATCTTTTTATACTTATTTTCCAGGCAATCTGATAGTTCTTTGAGGATGAAAATAAAATTCAGTTCCTGACCTAGAAGTTGAATTTTATTATTGCTGATAAACTATTGGATTATTTTGAGCTTGATAATTGCATGTTAATATTAAAAAAGATAATGTTCTGAGTTGTTTTTATTAAGATTCAGATCCAACTTTCTAATTCAAATTCAGTTACAAGATGATTGTTTAAGGAACTTAATTTTTACTGTCCTCAGAATTGTCACATACATTTCCAAAGTTAGAGTTCCAAAGTTCTCTTTATTGATTTGTTATATTTTCGATTTGGAAATCCAGCAACCTGACTGGTTTAAGAGACGATTTAGTGAAAGGATCCCAAATTATCCTTCTTTTCTTGAGCAGGTCGACTCCTCTCTTGTCAGTACTTGTCTGCCTCCAGTGGAAGGATTTCTCTGTATTTTCCTTAAGGAATGCTGAGTCAGGTCCTGATCCTCCCTGTTCCATCCTTTTGTCACCAGGCTTACCCAGCTGCCTTGCAAGTCTCCAAGACAGAGACCATCTCTGATTCCTGTCTTTCCTGTCCTGCCATGTGCCTGCTCCTCAGGGATTACCCAAATAGGAGCCTCACAATTGTTACCAACAGCACATCAGGTATTGCTGTGTGAACTCAGTTTACCCCGTTGTGTTCAGAGGAACTTTGTGCGTATTTAAAGTTGGTATTGCTTTGTGTGTGCTGGGCTGAAGTCTACAAATTTGGGAAGTTGGATCCCCTGAGTAGGTCCTGGTTCCCTGCAGCTCAGAAACTCCAGTAACAATCTTCATTAACCTGAATCAGGCAGCACTGCAGAAGAAGGTTCCCTCAATAAAGTGTTGTCACGCCTATGTAAAATTCTCCCAAAATATATTAAATACAAATCCCTTCAAAGAAAACAAGCCCCTCTCTACATTAATAAAAATTATGTTTTTGAACGCTCAGGGATTTACAAACTTAGGCCTGTGACACACAGGACTGAGTTACCACTTGTGCCACCACAGATGCTGGTTTTGCCCACGTGTTGTCAGGAGCAGCCTGGGGAACACAGAGCTCGCTGACACCTTGTAAGGAAAACATTTTACGAGTTTGGGAAGTGTATTGTGTAGAAAACAGCATCAGTGATCCAGCAAGAAACGGCTCTGGTCAGAGCTTTGTGGCCTCGGAGGAGCCTTTGAATGTCACAGAAAGCTGAACTATCATTGCAAGTGATTTAGAGAAGCTGGGAAGTTTTCTGTGTGCTGTGAGCAGCTATTAGAAAAATAAAATTTGGCAAAAGATTGGATTTCTCAGGATTTGTTCTGTAAATCAAACCAAAATCAGACCGAATCCTTAGAACAAAGGCAGATATATTTTGCATTTGAATATAAAACCTATCAAGTGGGTGGTGGGGAGAGAATGGGTAAATAAATACAAAACCTCTTAAGGGTTTCTTTCTGGGTTGGTTTCAAGAATGTCCCACAAAACAGGTTTTCATGGTTGTATGGGGCAATGTGATGCCATTCAACTTTCTTTCCTTTCTTTAGAAATTCTGAAGAAACTGTTGAAAACAGCTTCTGGGCTTTTACTAAAATAGTTTCCAGAGATGAGGAAAATGAGAGAATGCATATACAATCTTAGACAAACGATCTGCTCATATATTGAAGCCTGGATTGTAAAATGACTGCTGTGCCTTCCAGTGAATGAATATTCAGTGCTTCCCTGCTGGGTTGGCTTTTCCTATTTGAACCAGCTACAGCTCTGCACTGCGATCCACTTGTTACCAAATTAAACTCTTTACACACGTGGGAGATCCAACTTTATAAAGTCAAATTTTGAAGTGCTTTCTGGTCAGCCCCTGTGCCTGTCACAATCTTCATAACGGCCTGAATTAAGTTTAAAATATCATGGATGTGTGTTGTTTCCCTTGGCTGGGGAGCAGCCCTTCTGTACATCAGGCATTTTTCTGTTGACACTACGTATCACTTAGCAACCCAGTGAAAGGCCCTATATGCATTGATTGCACACAATTGTCTTTATGGGGTGGAAGTGTTAAGTGAATAAACCCCCACAGGTGACCAGACGGTCATTCCTCTCATGTTGATAATCTGTTTACATCAAAATATTGTTTACTCAGCTCTCTGATCTTGAGGAATCTACATGGAGCTGAAAGAATACAGTTAACTCCCCACACTCTGACACACAAGTATGAGCTGTATTTCCATTCTCAGGGATGGATAGATTGAGAAGGATTGTTTTGTCTTTAACTTAGCTCTCCCAAATAAAGCATTAAAATGCATTTGACAGTTAACCACAGATGATAATGCAATCTTTATGCTGTGGTTCCCATCATAATGGAGAAGTTACAAGGCTGTCACTACACCATAAAGAAAGAATCTTTCGTGCAGTCTTAGTGCTGTCTTTCTGCTTTCCTCTTTGTAAGCACTGTTACCAAATTACCTTTGGAGAAGTTGGATTGTTTACACTTATTTTTCTCTACAGGGTGAATAGCTGAGCTTTTAAAATGAGCTACAGTGTTCTCCCCAGACATTTTTCCTTGCCATAAAGTAGTCTAAAGAGACAAAAATAGTTTCCAATTCTGCAGGTTTTGTGTGGGGTTGTTTTTTTTTTTTAGTTTTATTTGACTTATTACATCCTGATTAATTACTGAGGGGTGAGGTGGAGAGGGGAGTGTGCTGAACTGAAGAGAGACATTTCCATAGTTTTGTTTGTTTGTTGACAAAGATGTAACTTCTAATGCCAACAGATTTGTTTTATTTTATGAGGACTTTGGAAACTCAATAGAATGGTAGTTTATATCATAGGGAGAAAGAGTAAGCACTTTTGAACGTTTTTTACTAATTCGGACAATTCTGAAAGATTTGGATAAAAAATCCTCCCCTTTGAAAAGATTCCAAAAACACATACCCTGAAGTGATAGGAAAATTGCAATCTGCTACCGGGAACTTTTTCCATTTTTCTGTTATTTGTAAAGGTCACATTGTAGCATCTGCCACAAGTAATTGAATTAAGGGAGTCAGTTATATCTGCATTTTCTGTCTGGGTTTTTTTTCCAAGTAGCTAAATATTATAGACTGACTCTTTATAGTCCCTTCACATAAACATATAGTTTTAAGGACTGTGTACTAGGGAAGCATGAAAAGAGCTTTAAGAGGGTCTGGAAATCCCTGTTGTACCACACAGTACCTGCGCTAGCAACAGAGTTAGAGAGATTTGAGCTGGTAAAATGAGAGCTGGGCCACACACATGTAGGTGTGTTACTACAGTGTGTGTTTTCTGCAGTCAATTTAAATCAATCTTTGCAAAGTCTGACGAATAAATGATCTGGGTTTGTCATTCTGTTCCCCATCCTGCCCCCATGGAGGTCCCTGCACCCAGTCCTGGTGCAGAGCAGAGAACAGTCCTGTGGAGCCCTGCTGATCTCTGGGGGAGCCAAGGGAGTTCTGTTCTGCCAGTGATTCATTTGGCCCATGAACCCCAGTGGAATTTCCCAGGGGAGGAGGGCAGTGAGACTGACCCAGCACTGGAATCTGTTGCCTGCAGTGACACCACTGCTGTGGGCACAGGGCCAGGGCTGGCACTGCTCTGGGGCAGGGACCAGGGGCTGGTGGGCAAGGACGTGGCTACAACCCACTGCCCTTCCAAGGGCTGCAAGATAAAGCTGGAAGATAAAGCTGATAGATTCATTTTTGGCAGAATGACCTAAGGAATCTGTATTTCTGAACACTAACCAGGCAGCTGGAGCTGTTCCTCGGTTCTGCAGATAAATGAGTGGTCCCTTCTATAAACATTTTGCTGTTACAAGGTAGATTTTTCACAGTGTTAATTTTAACAACATGGGTGTTTGCTGTGGAATAAAACTTTAAATTGATGTTCTCCCATTTTGTTGTTAAAACAAGGGGAAAAAAATGGAACTAGGATTGTGATAGATTCTGTGGTAATATTGCATTCTGATAGAGGGACTGTTGGATAATTAAAGGAGAACCAAAAGAAAATAACCATTATTTTTACATAGGATATCTTCCATTTTTACAGCATAGTGAGTTTTGAGTATTTCTTCATTAAATCTGTAATAAACCCAGTTACCTTTAAGTATCCTGTATTGGTTTCAAATGTGTCCTTTTTTTTCCAAAATCAAATTTGCTTCAAAATGTTGACTTCACATCTCAAACTGTTGATTTCATGGGAAGGCACTTGAAAATGCTGGGAGCAACTTGGAAAAACTTGTTTTTCTTTCCTTCTTCTAAAAAACTAATTTGTATTTCTTTGTAATTGAAAAGGAGCCAGACTCGGAGCCTTATTTTCATGTGTTTAAAAGTTTGGTAGCTCAAGCCAAACACTTCCAAGGCTTTTTATTAAAAAATTAATTAGTAAATGGCACTTCTTCCCTAAAGAGGCAGTTTTAACATGCTGTAGGTGATGCTGTTTGGCACTTTCATTCCACTGTGTTCAGACACCGGGTTTAAAATCATTAAGTGGGGGTGGGGTGCAGGGGGTGTGGGACAAAATTTAAACACCCTGAGCTGTGCACAGTGCAGGTATGTGGTGAGGAGCAGCCAGGAAATTGCTGAACCTTTATTTGGATCGTGCTGCTTGTGCTTTATCATAAACCCTCTCTCAACCCATAGTTTGTTTGTCTCCATATTTTTTCCCATTCTGACAAAATTCCTGGACTTCTAAGTCTAATGATGTTGACATATTAAAATGGTAGGGAGAAAAATGTGAGCTGAGCCCCTCCTTTTAGCTAAATGTTATCTGCTTAGACTAATATTGCAATTGCCACCCACTGACATAATTTGTTTCACAGTCACAGCCTGGCAGCATGAATCAAATGTTGACATTCTAATTTCATGCACACATGGGTGTTTGGCTGAGCAGGCCTCAGCCTCTGAGCCATTCACACCATACCTGTGTAAATCAGGGAGACAAGGCCTTTTCACAGCCCCCCAAAGGGAAGTTCCCACCTTCCTGCAAAGTGCTGGGCTGGTTAAAGCTGCACAGCCCTGCCTTCCCCCACAGGAGTTCATGGCTCCTGTCACTGCACTGGTGGGCTGGACAGGCACATTTACAGGAAAAGTAGTCATTTTAAATTTTTATTTTTTTTTTAATTCAGTGTGTTTAACAGATTTTTCTCATAATTCCTGTATGAAACAAATGGTAATATTGTCAAAACTCTGTAACTCTTTCTGTTGTAACTGCTCTGTCCGAGTGGCTTAAATGCAAAAGATGTTCCAATTCTTGCTCCTGGAGACTGATGCCCATTAATGATTGTTGTAAAGATATTTCACCAAAGTTCTCACTCCAAGCAGCCACCTCTGGAGCTAAAATGAAGTTCAGCTTCTGCGTGCACCTAACCTTGGAGCACTCTGGCCAGAGGGAAAACTCCAGCCAGCTTCTGACCCCCACCTGCCAGACACCGGCCAGGGCCTTATGTAAGGTTTCAATCTAGATTTTCCCTACAAATAGAGTTAAAATATTGCAAGTATCAATCCCATGGATTTTTCTGCCTCTGATTTGTAGTTTTGTTCCGGTTCCACGCAAAGTGTAGTTATTTGTGGTAAAAGAGCAGATTTATTTTGCTTTGAAGGAAAGTCTTTTGTTTTTCTTGAAAGGCACCCAAAAGTCACGGCAAACCAAAAGAATGGCTTTGAATGGTTATTCACAGATCTAGAGGCACATCCCAGAAACGTTCCCAGAGCTCCAGGGTGGAACGGCTGAGAAGGAGCCAGAGCAGCTGCTGTGGGGTTTGGTGGCACCTGATTGCTGAACAGAGCAAACCATCAAACCCAGAAATACCTGCTTGCTGCTTTCCCCGTTTCATGTGTGTTTGGAAGCTCTGAGAGATTTTAATTCTTATCCAGTACTGATGAGAATAAAGGGTGCTCATGAGCCGTGTGACACTCCTCTGTTTCAGCTCATTGTGGTCCTGAACTGACTGTGGCTGGAATGCACAGCCTTGGCTTCAGCTTTGGCATCCCTGGGTCAGAGGAGGGTGTTTAGCTCAGGATGTGACAGGAGTGCCATGCACTGAGCTGGGTGAGGACAGTAACACAGGCAGAGCTCTTGTCCTCTGGAAAGGTTCCAGGCTGTGCATGTCCAGCCCACTGACACATTGCCTGCCCTGCACTGGGACACAGGCTCTGATGGCATGTGCAGGACTGCAGCACTGGACAGGGAAGAGATTTTAGCTGAGACACTTGGACAAGTCCTTGTGTGAGATTTGCCAGGTCTTTAAAGTTCATTCAGAGTAAAAAGGAACTTGGTTATTTTTCAGTCCAAGAGAATGACACCCAGTAAATTGTGCAGAAGCAGATTTATGTCCCTTGGGAGGTTGAGGGGCTGAGCAAGCCCTGCTGGTGTCAGCAGTGCTGTTTGAGGGACGTGTGAAGATTCCCAGCGGGAAGCCTGGTGTGCAGAGCCACTCTCAGCACAGCTCCTGCCCAGCCCTGGCTGTGCCAGCAGCCCTGGCTTTTCTCTCACCAATTTTGCAGCAGTTCATGGAAGTATTTTCCTTAGTTTTGATGAAAGTTGTTTACATGCCCAGAGCTGTTCAGTCCACCCTCAGCTGAGGCTTTTTGCCATCCATCAGTGGAAATCCTGTACAAGGTCCCAAACACAGACTTTTATATGGAGCAACTTCCCCAAGTCACATTCCTATGGATCTCCT